TTTTCGGACACGGGACACGTGCCCCCTCCCGAGCCAAGTCTCGCCCTTCAGCGCCGCCGGCCTCGGGACCCGCCCCTGCTGGTCCCCCTGGGAAGTACATAGCATTCCCCTCCCCAATGGCCATCCAGTCCTCGCAGGGACTGTAAAGACTTCCGGTCTGGAGCCCAGGCCTGGCGAGCCTTCCTTCCTCTTCGTTGGCCGCTCGTAGCTTCGAGTCTCCGTTTGAGTTAAAGCAAAGGGGCGGGGCTTGGTGACGCGCTTCCGCCGGGTTGCGTAGCAGCGGTGGGCGGGGCCGAGGGCCGTCTCACCCAGCGGCGAGTGGTCGGAACCTTCCTCCCTCTCCTTCCCTTCCCCTTCCCCTCCCAGGAAAGGCTGGGACTTGGCACCGGGGCTGTCCCGTGGCCGCGGCGGCCTCAGCTCCCGCCGGGCTGGGGTACGGAGAGTCCGACCGCTTCCAGGGCGGTGCGTACTGCGCCTGCGCGGGCTCCTCAAAGGGTGTGGGAAGGGAGGGGGCGATGTCCCAGGGGCATCGGGGCCCGGGTTCGAGATGTTGGAGGTCAGGGTAAGGGATGGGAGTAAAGGTGGAAAATGGAGGCAGGGAGCAGCCGTGGGGAGGAGTCGCGGGGTGAGAAAGGGGCGCAGGAGGGTGGATGGCTGGGGAGGCTAGTGGAGCCTGGAGGAGCGCGGGAGGGAGGGAGCCTGGGCGGGCTGCAGGGCGGGGAGGAGGGGGTCGGGGGGAACAACGTGGTGTTTAAATGGGCCATGATTGACGGGCCGGGAGGAGAAGAGAGCGTTCTGGGGGCCAGCCAGGGCCGGGGCGGCGGAACCTGAACCCCCGCCCTCGAAGCGCCATAGCTTGGCTCGTCTCCCGCGCCTTGTCTTTGGCAGCCTTGTCTTCCTCCTTCATTCCTTCCCCCCTCCCCTCTCCCCCTCCTTCATGAAGGAATCTCACATTCCTTACATCCCTGCCCGGGGTTTTTGGCCAAGCCCTCTTCTCAGGCTTCACACACCGGAAAGCCTTCCCCAGCGCGGGACACGGGGGAAATTGAGGCGTGGGGAGGAGGGAGTGCAGGAGCAGGAAGCCGAGGTCGGGGGAGGGGGGGCGAGGGGCCGAAAGACGTCGTCCCCGTTCAGAAAGGACTTCGTTCCACCGAATAGCAAGTGTGGCTGTTCTTGTGGCCACCGGGCCACGTTCTCGGAGGCCGGGCTGTGATGGGAGAGGCTCATCCCTCCCTGTACAGGTGGTTTTAGAGTCGACAATAGGGCGAGAGGCGAGAGTGTTCAGCTTCCTGGCGGATCGTTTTCTCCCGATAGGAATGGAGTTGACTGGTGGTAGGGAATCCGAGTGATGCAATCATGTTCCTACCCTGTGCGTCCAGCTGCCTTGGTGGCGGGGCCTGGTTTCCAGTCACTGAAAAGAAGGATCAAGCTCCTGCCAGGCATTTCCTCACTGGCCCTCCGCGCTCTAAGCCTATTTTGCGCTGTTACTACAGATGCCTTACCTGAGCAGAGCCGTGTTTCGTATGCTTTCACATGTATTATGTCATTTGCCTTTTCATGTAAGGGAGATGAGGCAGGTGATCATTTTCCCTGCGGGACAGAAGGGTGGCATGGCTTGCTAAAAGTCATACAGTTGGCAAAGCTGGGACCAGAACCTCAGTCTCCTGACTCCTGGCCCTCCTCTCAGTTGAAAAGTCCTGTTTTGTTCTGGCCAAGGGAGAGTCAAAGTAGGACTGATTCTCCCAGCATGGGCAACTATTTGGTTTCTGAGACGGGAACTTGTCGCTAGAAGACGGAGCAGAGCCAACCACACTGGTTCCTGGAAGCATTTCGCGAGGTACAGGGCATGTGCCAGGCCGTGGGACATAGGTATTGTCAAAAGGGAAGAGCATTATACCCTCCTCTGTATTGTGGGTGGCAGACACGTTATCAACTTACCCCACCCCCAACCACAGGGGAGAGAAAGTGGTCTGACATTTCGCCTTTATCTCTGAGCATAAAAACTAATGAGCATGTGTACCAGACTTAGAAGATGAAATGGCCCCCTTTTTATGTATAGAAATCATCATCCTATTCCTTTTTAACACAGCCCTTAATCTCTTGATGGTGAGGAAAGTAGTTTGAATGGTTGCTATTCTCCTGCAAAGTGTTGAATAGCTCTTAGCCTCGTTCATCTGAAACCTGGTCTCCCTCTACTTGGTTCCATCCTTTTAGCAACAGGTGTCTGGTCAGCCTCATCATACTGCTACCTCTAGTCTTCCCAGTTGCCCACCCTGGAATAATTTCCCAATTCACTGCCTCTATGTTTTTAAAAAGCCTGGTCCCCTCAGGAGTACATTCTTGCTTGGGAAGTTGAAATGCATCTGTACCAACATTCATGAGTATCTTCATCTTATGAAATAGTATTTTCCAACTGGAGGATAAGACCAGAATTCTTTTTACATGAAATAATTTATGTGAAAGCACTTTGGAAACATGAAAGTATTATACTGTGCATGTAAGGTATCATGGATCTAGGCATTATACAGCCACAAAGTTAGAATTATTGACATTACTGGTAGTTGTGTACACAAAATAAAAGAATCCTTGTTGCCCTGGCTGGCGTGCTCAGTGGTTAGAGCGTTGGCCCTCGCACCTTAAGGATCGCGGGTTCTATTCCCACTCACACATTGATGTTTCTCTTTTTCTCCCCCGCTCCTCCCACTCTCTAAAAATCAATGGAGACGGCCGGTGTTGCTCAGTGGTTGGGCATTGACCCATGAGCCAGGAGGTCACAGTTTGATTTCCAGTCAGGGCACATGCCAGGGTTTTGGATTCGATGCCAGTAGGGGGCGTGCAGGAGGCAACTGATCAATGATTTTCATCATTGATGTTTCCCTCTCCCTGCCTCTCTCTGAAATCATTTTTTAAAAATCAATGGAAAAAAATATCCTCGGGTGAGGATTAACAAACAAACAAAAAAAGAATCTGTCTACTTCACATTTCTCCCCTTTTCTACCTTTCTTCTCGTCCCTCCCCCCCGCCCCCCCTCAGGTATGTTTGAATCTCTTAGACTTAGACCATGCATGTGATTCCTTACCTAATGATCTTGCTCCTTAGAGGGGAGTCCTACATGTTTAGCACAGAAACCTTAATAGAGTTGTCTCATACTCCGCACTCAACCACCAGATCCAAGTCTGTCCAGTCTTACTGCCAAGTGGAGGTAGTTCCCCTGACTCACCTTTTTCTTCCTTGTTTCTATTAATAGAGTGCTCCTGATTGTGACATCACATCCATCCCCTTGGTGATGGAGCTTGTCGCTGAGAAGGAAGATTCAGTTGGAGAATAGCCAACAAGATGGGCTACTGGGAGCGTCTCCTGAGTGGCACTGAGTGGAGGCGTCAGGGGGTTGGAGCCTTGTGAACAGGGAGCCTGTCCCCCAACACTTGGAAGGTAAAGAGCCTTGACTTAGGGTCCCATTCCAGGCTTCACCCTCTTCTCTGCCAGCCTGGGTTGCTTCTGCTTAAGGGGCCTTTTCCTTGTGTGTCTGGTTGTTTATAGTAATTGGGGCTGGAGACTCCTCAGCCCTCTGCACATGTGTTGTATTCAGGGCAGAGAGAAAAATCAGCAGAAGGAAGCCTACAGCACACATACCTGGCTTTTACCCTTATGCTTTTGCCAAGAATTGGTGACAGTGTGCCCAGTCACCCTAAAATACTAATGTTTCTTATGTAATGTTTCTCTTGAGTGAGGGTGTGGATGTGTGTGTGTGTGTGTGTGTGTGTGAATGTGCATGGTTTGCATACCTGTACATGGGTTCGAGAAACACTGAATAAGGGAGGATAAATGTTCAAGTTTCTTTAGGAACAAACTTTCTTGAATTCCTAGCTCTCTCTAGGGGTAGACCAGAGAAAACAACTGCCGCAATAAAGTTAAAAGGGTATAGGAAGGGGTCTCTTGTATTTTTATTATTAATGCTGACTAGGAAGAGAGAGAGAAAGAGAGATGGAGAGAGAGAGAGAGGGAGAGAGAGAGAGAGAGAGAGAGAGAGAGAGACCTAATGTAACAGTGAGGAAGGAAAGTAGCACAATTAACCTGGTTTGGTTCTGGCCTGCAGGATAACAGATGGGGAAATGCAGTTTTGTTTGTTTGTTAATCCTCACCTGAGGATATTTTTCCATTGATTTTAAGAGAGAGTGAAAGGGAGGAGGGAGAGAGAAACATCGATGTGAGAGAGACACATTGATTGGTAGCCTCCCACACACACTCCGACCAGGGCCAGGGATTGAGCCTGCAGCAGAGGTACATGCCCTTGACTGGAATTGAACCTTCAGTCCAACACTCTTACCGCTGAGCCAGACTGGCTAGGGCAGGAATGCAGTTTTCAGTTTGGGTTTAGGATGTTCAAATCAGGGAGGCTGGGAGAACTCCTACAATCCTGAAGGGACACCTCAGCGCTACTTAAGTTCAGCTCCCCAAGTTCAGTGAAACCTTTTCCTATTCCACAACTCAAGGAGAATATCGAGGAAACTGCTTCCCATGGCTGTGGTTACTGGCTGTGACTCTAGAGGATGCTATGGTTTCAGTTTTATTAAGGCTCCTGTCCTCAGGGCAGAGAGCCGTGAGTTCTTGTGAGGCATCCCCTTGGGGGTGATATCCTGCCCCTTGAAGATGCCACAGCTGTGTTGCGAGTCCCAAAGAGTAGAAGGAATAGTCAAGGCATCTCAGCTATCAGCTTGACTGTCAGCCTAGGGCAGTGATGGCGAACCTTTTGAGCTCGGCGTGTCAGCATTTTGAAAAACCCTAACTTAACTCTGGTGCCGTGTCACATATAGAAATTTTTTGATATTTGCAACCATAGTAAAACAAAGGCTTATATTTTTGATATTTATTTTATATATTTAAATGCCATTTAACAAAGAAAAATCAACCAAAAAAATGAGTTCGCATGTCACCTCTGACACGGGTGTCATAGGTTCGCCATCACTGGCCTAGGGGCAGGGCAAGGAGCTGGCTTCCAAGGTTGTATAGATCCATGTCAACATCTGTTTCCCATAGATGATAAATAGGGAATACCCTAATCATATTGGAAATCTAAATGGCCCCTTAACGATTGAGGCTGTACCACTGAGAGAATGCATTTATAGGAGGGTAGATAAAACGGGTGAATACGCAGATAACGGGAGGTGGGGTGAGGGGGG